TCTGCTAGTCTTTCTTACGTTATCTCTTCTATTAGGAGTTGAGTGCTTCTTTGTTGGAGAGCGTAAACTTCTCTCTTTTAAATTGCCCTAGCTAGAACGAAATCATCAACTATTTACTTGAAAAAAAGTTCATAAGTCAACTTTGTATTTTTTTTAAACATCGATTTCATATATAATATCAATTTACATTTGCTACTTTTAATATTTTAATTCGTATTTTTTCCTTAATAAATAAGATACTTAATTAAATACTTACATATCAAATTTATTTTTTTGCTAAATGTAACTGATGTATATTACTTTATAATTATTTATATAATATATTTTATCAAATTAATAGTGCCAAATATATTTTTTCAAATCAATTCGCTAATTTTACCAAATAATATTTTACGGAACCACTAAAATTAATAGTTGGTCAAAACAACTAACACAATCCGCTAGTCAAAATGACTGTCGCAATCCGCTAATAAATTTTCTAGTTTGATGCATTTATTATTATTAATTGTATTAAATCCTCCCTATATATAATTTCAAAATGCGCTGAGCCTACGTGGCTGCTTATGGTGCTTCGAAATCCTATTTGGCGAAAAATCATGCTTCGTAATTAGGTTTTGATAAATAATATTAATATATTAATAATTAATAATCTAGGTTCGAGTATTCCATAAATATTATTTAGCTAACTTAGGTATTAATATCACTTTTACTAATATAACCCTTTAATTATTTGTAATTTTACATAGTGAGACACTAAGTGACTAATATATCCCTAAATTTTGATTTGCTTCCTTCAATAAGCTATTGAATTATAAATGTATTTTAAAAGTAGATAACTTTTGTATTTCTTATCGGTTTTACATATATAATATATCAAATTAATCATCTTTTGATGATCTTCGATTTGGCATCCATATTGTATATATAAAATAAATAAATTATATTTATCTTTATAATAATAAAAAATAATAATATTTATTAAAATTCATTAGAAAAATAAAATTATTTCTCAATTGATATATTTATATTTAATGTAGTTATATAGTGCAACTTAAAAAATCTATATATATTGAAAGAGGAAGGTAAAAAAATTATTTGAGGAAAGTTTAAGAAAATTGGTAAAAAAGGCTTTGACTTTTTATTTGTGGAAAGTCTTTTAAAATTTCGAAAATTATTTAATCTTGATTCATTTTGTATTAGATTTAAATACAATCCAACAATTATGCCTTACTTTCCGTAAACAAATTCTGGTAATTATCCAAGCCTTAGTTATCCCTTAATTCCGTAACCAAATTATGCTTACATCCTTAATTTCATTCCAAAATTTTAGTAACAGATTTCCATTAAATCCGAAAACCAATTTTCTAAAAGTTAGGGAATCTTATCTATTTCAGTATTTGGTAAAGTAAGGGAATCTCTTTTTGTAACAAACTTCCATTGAATCTGAAAACTAATTTCCTTAACCCACGTTTAAAATAATAAAAAATACAAAGAATGAGTCTAATCTATATATTAATAATAACTATCGCTCCATATTTTCCGTAGAGATAACATGTAGAAAAACTCTCTATATAAAACGGTATACACTGAGACCATTATTACTTCACCTCATCAACACGCACACTACGATAATAGAAATTACAAAATACAAATTTTATTTTATGGCACCATTGTGGGGTACACTGGACGCCGTCAGCATAACCAACAAACCGTTTTTGAGATTGAGAATCGTCCTATTGCTTGAATCTCATCATGATGAAGAGCATCAGAATGGTTTTCATATCCTATTTCATGACGAATGGGTAATAATTTCCAACTGTTTTATCAATAAGATAATTACAGGAATATATAATATGACATTTCAATTCATTGTTGAGCAATTTTTATTTTATTTATTATTTCAAATATGTAGGATTCATACATGAAGGAATAATACGTTCACCGCATATAAGCGTATTTCGAGATCGCCTTAAATAAGACGAGGTGTATGCAATTCGCAACTATGATATTGAATATCATAGTGGGAGGAAATATAATAACACATCGTTGGAAGCTTCGAATTCATGGAAGTACGAATGTGAGTAAATACAATGGAAATTTTCTTCAATACTAGCGAGAGAAAATATATGGTCAAGGCTATATTTCTTAGTTTTTTTATTTTTTTTTTATTTTATGATATGTTGAATATTGGCAAGAATTTTATTCCATGTCAATTTTTTTGCGAATTGGATATATATTATATTTTATCGGTAATAAAAATGGTATTAGTTCATTTATTCTTCAATTAAGTAATTACATGTGGTTCTTTTATTTTTTGTTTGTTTTATTTGTGCAATATGATTTATTTTCATTGCGGTCAATTTTTAACAATTAGCAATTTCAATGTTCGGATGATAAAAAATATCACCAATTTTGTTGAAAATATTGAATTTATTTTTTTGCCTTTTTTATTCGATAAAATAATGTCATATGTGCACAATAATATTTTCAGATGCTAGGGACTTTGATATTTAAAATAATAATATAATTAAAATAATGAGGTATAGATTACTCTCTCTATTAACATTTTATAATTTAGTAGATCTAAATTTAAAAAGACTACGTGTATCCTATTATAAATCGATAACAAAATAATCATTCCATTAACTTTTGAATTCCAAAATTAGTTACGAAAATTTAGGCATTATTTTTTGAATGATTTAAAACTAAAAAAAATGAATGGCAAAATTTCGGATATATACTAGCGACATTGATGAGATCTCTTTTGTTAAACTGAATCCATTAGTAAATCAAATTTGTGACACATAAAATATTTCAGTCCTATTTTAATAAAATATCAAAGTCCTAATAAATAAGTAGTTAACAAAATGTAAAGTTTTGTTTAAAGACGTGTTTTTTGGAAAATGTTC